AATAAACATACATCCTGCTCTGTATTCACAACTTCCCACTTCAACCCAAAATGCCGCAGCTTCACATTTCTAACCATGAATTGGCTCCACCCCGAGCCTCAGCACCTCAAAACAAAACCCCAATTTCGAGCCAAACTGTTAATTTTTCCTTTTGTGTTAAGAGCTAACTTTGATATGTTAAAACTAAGTAAAATCCATTTACTCAAACCAAAGCAGGCATTAAAAAGAAAAACCCCAAATGCTCTCTTGTGTCCATTTTAAGAGTAGGATTGGCGCTTTCCGCTATTACCTGAGTCCTGATCTATCACCCGAGGGAGAGCTTTCCAATCCTGCACTTGCCCGGGGTGCAAAGGCTGCAGTGGGGTTAAGGATAAGGCTCCTTGGGCCTACCTTCTCCCATGCCTCTACATTTACCTTTCCGGCACCTTTCCTTCCTCAGAAAAGCATGGACACACTTGTATAAAACGTTCCGTCTGACTGGGAGTAAACTTAATTCCTCTGCTAGCAAGCATATGTGTTTAAAGATCAATACATTTTTTTTCCTTTAGACTCAGTACGGCACGTCTTCTCAATCTAAGTTCTGTACTATCCACCTTCTTACCCTACTTATCCTCTATAGGGGGGTCTGCAGTACCCTGGTGGAGTCCTATCCATCCTGAGTGTGGGGGTTCTCAATGGCGGGGTGGGGGGGCTTACCTAGGGGAATCCTGTTCGGGCGCCATATGCCAGGGTCCAGCCCCATTTCTTTGTAGTCTCTCCTGGGATTGCCTGTTAATATGTACGTTGACACTTCCAATTCTGCCTTTCATTTCTTTTTATCATCTCTTCTGCTGACTGTATTTCATTTGTCTTTTGGCAATTAGATGGATATCTGTGAGTCCTTTATTTCAACCATTATTACATTTTCTATAACTAATAGTTTTGGTTGGTTCTTATTATATCTGCTTGTTTCTTCTTCATATTACCAATATCCTGTCTTTTCTCTTTGAGGTATTTTTAATACTCACTGTATAATGTTATCTTTTAGTATTTAATTTTGTTTCATCTGATAGAGGTTGTTGAGTTTATTTTCTTTATTTAATTATAGTTGCATTTATCAGATTACCATTTCTTTGCCCTTTCAGCTCATATTCTCTCAGGGATATTAGTTACTTTGGCCAGTAATGTATGTGGGGGTGGGAGTAATTTAAGTCCATCCTGGTTTGGAGGGGTAGGAAGAATGCTGCTGGCGTTAAAATATAGGGCGTGGCCACTAGACAAATGCTCCCTCTTCCTAACCAAGTAACTTGGCTTACAGGGATTCTGTTTTCCTTTGCCCTTGGCTTTCTTCACTGACACCACCCCTGGGTGTGGGAGTGGGGAATGGAGACTACTGAGGCCAGTACATACTTTACTTATCTTCCCAGCTCCTCCTGTCCTTGGCCAATTCTACTGTTTTTCTACCCTGTAACAGTTATGGGGTAGGTGTAGTGATTCACCCAGGGCAATTCAGAAGGAGAAAAAAAAAACACCCAGAGAGTTCTTCCTCAGCCTACTCCCCTATTGAAGACTTGGTTCACTTCCTTTCGAAGCTACTTCACTTCCCTACCTACTCCCAGGACCTAGAGATCTCCACTGTCCAAATAATAACAAAGACCAAGAACTGACCCAATTGTCCATTAACAGGAGATTAGATAAATTGTTTTGTATTCATAATTGGATATTACACAGCAGTGAAAATGAATGAACAAGTCCTAGGAAACTAAATGAGGTGAAAATGTAAACCTCCTAAAGTGCATGAGATCGTTTTTATTGAGCTGAGAAACCAGTAAAGCATATATTTAGCGATACACATGTATGTGATGAAGCTGTTTGAAAAAGGATGCAGTTTCTGTGAACACAGTTCAGGAGAGCTACTGTCTCTTGGCATGGAGAAAGGTGGGGAGAGGAATGTAGTGCTTGGACATGCACAGTGGCCTTGGCAATCCAGTTCCTAAGTTAGCTGGGGCTGTAGCTGCTTGATTCATTAATATGCATCTTAATTTATGTATCACATATAATTTATACACATGAAAATATAGAAATAATTTACATGGCAAAAAACTTGATCTGAACATACTTATGTTGTGTGCGTATTAGATATTTTGCAAATGAATACTCTTAACTCAGTTTCTAACATTTAGGTCTGTGAGTCATTTTGACATGATTTTTGCGGTGTATAAAGGCTGTGTCTAGATGCATTTTTGTGTGTGCATATCTAGTTCTAGGCTAGTAGTTTTTCTGGTAGCTATCGATGTAACTTAACCTGTTGTATGGGATCAAACTCATCATGCCCATCATCATTTTTTTAAATTTCTGTCTTTAAACAAATGATCCATTTATAATTTTAAAAAGCATTTATCAACTTAAAAGCATGTATCAAGAAAAAGTACCCAAAGCTTAAAAGAATCACTAAGTTATACTGTGTCATAATGTGGTGTGTTACACAGTCCGTGATGTTGTACATTTCTTACAGTGTGACAAGCGTAAGTCCTGAGAAGCTGCCAGTGTACTTGGCTGGCATTTGGCTGACGGTGATGTACTTGTCTGTGCATTGAGTACTCGCCAGGAGCAGCTACATGCAGCCCTGGATAGGGAGTTGGTGGTTTCCAGTGGTTTCGAGTTCAGAATATAATATTTTTTTAAAAAATATATTTTATTGATTTTTTACAGAGAGGAAGGGAGAGAGATAGAGAGTTAGAAACAACGATGAGAGAGAAACATCGATCAGCTGCCTCCTGCACATCCCCCACTGGGGATGTGCCTGCAACCCAGGTACATGCCCTTGACCGGAATCGAACCCGGGACCCTTCAGTCCGCAGGCCGACGCTCTATCCACTGAGCCAAACCGGTTTCGGCCAGAATATAATATTTGAATGCACATTATTTTTGAAAGTAATCCGCTTAAAATGCAGTTTTGATCAAATGTGGAACTTCTGAATCATCTCTGTGGAATATGGTTTGCTCTTGAAATGTTAAATAATGATGTAATGTTTGATAGAATGGGGCTTTGTGTACAATAGGTATTCTATAAATACTGTTATCATATCTAAATATGTTAGTAAATATTTATATCTTAAATATTTTGATAAACCTTAGGAAAGATCTTAAATATTTTATATTTGTAAATAGTCCTCAAGAACATATCAGTAGGGGAGCATGAGTGTG